CCGGCAGGAGCAGCGGCGCCCCGCCCCCGCCGAGCCCCAGGCGCCAGCCCATCCTTCGGCCGCCGGCGGGGCGGGAAGCCCCTCGCTCGCTCGCTCGCCCTCCGGCGTCGCCAACCTGGTGCCCGGCGCCCCGGCGGCGTGGCCCTCTTCGGCGGGCTCTAACCCAGCGTGGCCCTCATCGCGCCCGTCCCTTCCCGGACCGCTGGCGCTCCGCGGCTGCCCCCCGCGAGGGGGTCTCCTCGCCGGGCTGCACAGAGTGGATCCCCGCGTCGGACGGAAACCAATAAGGACCCGGCGGTCCCGGGAGACGAAAGCGCATCAATCTAGGCGTGCAAATGGCAGCTGCCAATCCGGATCCGGCGGCTCTCAAGGCGAAGCGGAACCCCCCCGCTTGGCGAAGGACGGAGACGCATCCGGCCACTCTCTCCCGCGCTCTGAGCGGCTCCTCGCCTGTCTCCGCAGACACAGCACCGCCGCGGACTGGCACGCACTCACACAACCACCACACGCATCGCGGCCGACCAATGGAGGCGCAGGACTCCGCTGGGCAGCGCCGGCTCGTTCACAACGGACGGGCGAAGAGGGAAAAGGGGAGGGGGGAGATGGAAAAGCCCCCCCCCATGGGAGTGGAAGCGGGCGGTGGGGGGGGGGGAAGGGGAGGAAGGCAAGCGCTGGAGGACGCTTCACACGTGACTGCGGGGCACCGTGCCTGCGGGGCCCCGCGGGCGCCCGCCTTTGCGTGTAGCCCGCGTCCTGGTTCGCCACCCGCGAGGCTCCCCCGACCGGGCGCCCTCCCCGTCCGAACGGCCGCCGGCGCAATCAGATATACACGTGACGAGCGGCAGAAATGTACGTCACGTGTGAAGCCGCGGTCGGCGGGTGGCAGCGGAAGCCTCTTTGCGGTTCGTTTTGCATCTACTCTCTGGCGAGCTGTTGACAGGGCCATGACCCCATTGTCGTTTTGTCTTGAGAATCAGTGCTGGGCTGGCATCCAGCCGAATCCCTGTGAGCCTTGCAACACGGATTCCCCCCACGCACACACACACACACAAACAAGGACTCCATCCATATAACATCACACACACACACACACACACACACACACACACACACACTCCCTCCATCCAGCACTCCATCCATGTAACTGTCCTGAAGAGGGGAGGGACCACCTTTCAGTTGTATTTCTGAAATGTCTTTGATAGATCATATCCTGACCATCTGTTGTCAGCCAGGCCCTCTTGCCTTCCCATAAATTTATTTGTTTAACTGCTTCTTTTGAACCCAAACTTTGTCTCCAATGGGGACCCAAAGTGGTTTACAGAGTTCTCTCCTCCATTTCCCCCTCACAACAACCCTGTGAGGGAGGTTATGGACATAAGAACATAAGGGAAGCCAATGTTGGATCAGGCCAATGGCCCATCCAGTCCAACACTCCATGTCACACAATGGCCAAAAATGCCAGGTGCCATCAGGAGGTCCAGCAGTGGGGCCAGGACACTAGAAGCCCTCCCACCGTTGCCCCCCCCCAACACCAAGAATACAGAGCATCACTTGCCCCAGACCGAGAGTTCCTATCTATACCTTGTGGCTAAGAGCCACCGATGGACCTCTGCTCTATATGCTTATCCAATTCCCTCTTGAAGCCGGCCATGCTTGTAGCTGCCACCACCTCCTGTGGCAGTGAACTCCACGTGTTAATCACTCTTTGGTTAGGCTGAACGTGCGTGACTGGCCCAAGTTCACCCAGCCAGCTTCCACGGCCAAGTGGGGATTCGAACCTGTGTTTCCCAGATCTTAGTCTGACACTGTAACCGCAACACCATACTGGCTAGTTCCGTGAATGCATTGAAGAGGCCTCATGTCCCATAGAGGTCAGTATGGTTTTCTTAGACTGGCAGCCTCTGAGCAGGTCTCAGGCAGAAGTCTTTCTCATCACCTCCTCCCCAATTCCTTTAACTGGAAGCAGTGTTCCCTCTAAGCTGAGTTAGTGTGAGCTAGCTCACAGTTTTTTAGCCTCCGGCTCACAGATTTTTCTCTTAGCTCAGGAAGGACAGCTCCTGAGCAAACTAATTTACACAGTCGTCTAATCGCTCACTCACAACTTTGCCAGTAGCTCACAAAGTAGAATTTTTGCTCACAAGACTCCATAGCTTAGAGGGAACATTGACTGGAAGTGCCAGGGATCCAAACCGAGACCTTCTGCATGCCAAGATGATGCTCTACGACTGAGTCGTCCCTCCCCCCAGTAAACAGCTCGGCACCTCCAGTGTGAATCTGAACCCAAATCCCCCCTGCTGAAGTTCGACTGTGTAACTACATTGCTTCCAAAAGATACCCAGAATGGGATTTTCTTTTAGGATCTCAGAAATCGTGATTGACTGCGGGATGAGCCCAGAGAACTTGGCCTGGACCCAGTGCGACCCCCACTTCACTGGGATCCCCTGTTCCAGGGGTCCCCAACCTTTTTGAGCCTGCGGGCACCTTTGGAAGTCCGACACAGCACGATGGGCTCAGCCACAAAATGGCTGCCGTGGGAGGTTATAGCCAGCCACAAGTGGCTGCCACGACTTCTCTTGAGTTACACGAGGAAGAGATTTGCGCTGTAGTGGCAGCTGATGCCATAGCAACCTTTAAAAAAAAAAATCGGCACAGCCAAACTAATCTCCAGGGGCCAAACAGAAACTCTGCTAGGCAAAAGCCTTACTCCCTCCCCACACTCTCTAAAAGAACCAGGTGGGCATCTGGAAAGGTGTTAATGGGCACCATGCCACAAACAGGCACCCCACTGGGTACCCCAGTCCGATTCCTTGTCACTTTCCTTTCTCTTAGTAGATCGATATAGAGAATGCATTAAGGCTCTTGACTGCCAGTGATCAGCGTGGGAGGCAGTTCTCTAACTCTGGAGGATGAAATCAGGCCCCTTCATCTTTTGCGATGGTCCCTTTAGCTAATGCTTTACAAAGAGGAGGGGGAAAGGACGTTTTGGCTTCTGTGGCTCACTGGAGGTCCAAGGGCCATAGGGGAGCTGTCCTCACCTTCACCCATGTTTGGGGACCAAGGGCGGACCGGTCCTTTAACCGACTGGAAAAGATCCTGAGGGGTTTCTACACTGGAGGGTTGAATTGGTCCAGGATCTAGTTGAGCCAACAACCCCCCCCAAGCTCTGGAAGAGCCCATGTCTGGTGGGTGAGCCTGTTGTGGTGGTCGCCACGTCCCAGGTCTGAGCCAGGCGGCCCCTGCACGTCCTCTGCCAATGTTTCAGCTTGGCTCAGCAGCTTCGAGGTAAGGTTGCCAGGTCTGGTTGGGAAATTCTCCTCCTCCTCCTCCTCCTGGATATGAATTTGGACAACCTGATCTCCCTGTTGTCAATTTTTGTTCTGCTCCCCTTTGGTTGTGTGTCTTTTTTTAGCCTGTAAGTCTGTGAACAGAAATATCTTGATTGGCATGAGCATCTCTGGAAGGCAATTGTCTGAAAAAGCCAGGTAGAAAGCTGAAAAACTATCTCTAATTAGACAGATCACGGAGGAGAGGTCTATCAATGGCTAGTAGACATGGTGACTAAAGGGAATCTCCATATACAGAGGCAGTAACAGCATTAGGAGGAGGTTACATCAGGGGAGGGTCTTGACCTCTGAGCCCTGTTTGTTGGCCTTCCAGGACAGTTAGTCGGCCTCTGTCTGATACAAACAGTATGCATGATTAGATGGACTGCTGGTTTGATCCAGCAGGACTCTACAAATGAGAACCCCCCACTGAGGAAGATATTTTGCCACGATCTATTAATAATCTCCTGTGGTGGCTCAAGTGGTTAAGATGCTGAACTGCAGGCTGTGGAAGGTCGGTAGTTCAGCAGTTCGAGACCCGGGTGCCGCATGACGGAGTGAGCTCCCGTCTCTAGTTCCAGCTCCTGCCAACCTAGCAGTTCGAAAGCAAGAAATTGCAAGTAGATAAAAAGGTACCACTTCGGTGGGAAGGTAACAGCGTTCCGTGCGCCTTGGTGTTCAGTCATGCAGGCCACATGACCACGGAAACGTCTTCGGACAGCGCTGGCTCTTCGGCTTTGAAACGGAGATGAGCACCGCAACCCTAGAGTCGGATTCGACTGGCTTTCGAGCAAGGGAACCTTTACCTTTACCTTTTATCATTCAAACAGTGGTGGGAGGACCAAGTTTCTTTGGTAGGAAGGGGGAAATCCGCTGGAAACCTGTGGCCTAGGACATGTCCCCAAACATCTGAAACTGGGAGCTGTGGGCTAATTTCATAAAATGCTGTGAGCCTTCATATGTGCTCATGGCATATCATACATCAACACTGAGATACAAATAATTTGTTGTTTAGTCGCACAGCCCAACTCTTCGCAACCCCATGGACCACATCACGCCAGTAATTGCACTCACAGGCACTGATAACAAGGAATGCACATAAATCCAACCAGTCGATTCTCCTTGCTTAAATGCAATAAAAGTGTTCGAGGACCTCCAATAGTCATAAATAAAGCAGAGGATGACCAGTGAAAAATCTCCTATAGCTGAATGGGAATAACACCTTTCCCAGGTACATGGACATTTCAATTTCTCTTCTGATTAAGCGGCTGAATAATGGAACCCGATTTCAAAGAAAATTAAATGGACTACCAGTTTCTTTTAGCTAGATTGAATCCCAGCAGTTTTTCTGTTGTTTTCACAGTTTGTAAGGCAGTAATGGAGATCAAACAACAATAAAGATTTGGATCCCTGGTTGTTGGAACAAAGGAACAGAGAGCCAAAAGCATCTCTTCCATTATGGGGTCTTTGTCTGGAAAGAGATGGCTAAAGGGAGTTGTAGCAAAAATAAGAGGCAGATGGGGAAAAAACAGAATAATTTGAGATGTTTCTGGCTCAGTTTAGGGGGTCATGGACCAATTTAGGCCTACAAATGCTCCTCTCCTCACCCCCCTTCTACTGCCATTTCCTCCTCTGCTGTCTCTGAGTTGCAAGGCCGAGTACCCTACCATCTCTGGTCCAAGGTTTCCTTTAGTTATTGTTCCAAAGGCACCCAAGACACATGAAACTGCCTTGAGAGACAGTGTGGTGTAGTGGTTAAAAATGGAAGACTCTAATCAGGAGAACCAGGTTTGATTCCCCACTCCTCCTCCACATGATGCCAACTGGGTGACCTTGGGCCAGTCACAGCTCTTTCAGAGCTCTCTCAGCCCCACCTACCTCACAGGGTGCCTGTCGTGGGGAAAGGAAGGGAAGGAGATTGTAACCTGTTTTGAGACTCCTTTGGGTAATGAAAGGTGGAATTATAAAACCATCTCCTCCTCCTCCTCCTCTTCTTCTGTCAGAGCATGAATACACATGAATGAGATCCATGGTCCATCAAGTTAAGTCCTGTTTGCTCAGACTAGCAGCAGATCTCCAGAGCCTCAGGTGATCTTTCACATCACCTACTACCTGATTTTTTTAACTGGGGATGCCAGGGATTGAGCTCGGGGCCTTCTGCACGCCGAGCAGATGTTCTACCACTGAGCCATGGCCCCACGAGTCTTACCAAAGTTAGCCTTGATTCGAAGTGGTCCTACAGAGTCTCAAGTCCTCAGAGTCTTCCCCATCACCTACGCCCTGATCCTTTTAAGTGGAGATGCTGGACCATCAGGTGAGTCATGGAGGGCCACCTGCTCTGTTGTGAGCCCCAAAGAACCATTGTGGGGGAGGGGGTTGTAGCTGCCTTTTGGAATGTGCATAGAGAGCAAGCCATGCCCTCCCTCTTCTCTTTGTGCACGCACTGAGAGAAGTGAAAGAAAGCAAGTTCAGCGGTTGGAGTGATGGTTGTCTGATTCTTGGCTTGTTCTTCACTCCAGTACTTCT